ACAAAAATCAGCTGTAGCCCACTCTTACACAGGAAAAAAAAGGACAAACAGAGCATATTCCTGTGAATAGTTTGAAGTAAACAAACACATTTACATTCCATTTCCTGCCTCTCAGTATTTGAACAGGATCTGCCATCCCCACCCTCCCAGTACAGTGGTATCTTGACTTATGAATGTCTCTACTTGCAAACATTTTGAGTTATGAATGGCTCCGTTCACAAAATGTTGCTTCGACTTGCGAACGAAGCCTCGACTTACGAACCAAAAAAAAACAAAAAACCTTTCCTGCCCTTTTTTTGACCTAAGTTCATCTTAGGTCAAAAGAAGAAAAATAAAAATAAAATTCTCCCCCTAGTGGTAGAGTACGAATTAACTGGCTTTGCATTATTTCCTATGGGAACTAATGCCTCTACTTACGAACAGTGCCTCGACATACGAATGAAAAACAGCCTGAACAGATTAAATGGTTTTCAATGCATTCCTATAGAAAATCTTGCCTCAACTTATGAACTTTTCGACGTACAAACGCTGTTCCAATACTGATTAAGTTCGTAAGTCAAGGTACCACTGTATACAAAACAGTCACCGAGAGGCTTTAAAAGGGATTTTAACAATTGATGGAGGAAAATTTTTCTATGATTCTCTGTGTTTCATACCTTCAGGGAGAAAGTGTCATTGCTTATGTAGACAAAATGGTACCACAACCCACAAGACAGAGGTAGCAAGGACTTTTAGATGGGTAGAAGATCTACATAATATTGTGTTCTTAACTGTGTGAATTTTAATCTTGTGAGCTGCTTTGGGTCTCTGTTGGGAGAAATGTGGCATAACAACAGCAACACAAATATGTATGGCATAAGTATGACAGGTCTTTAAAGGGGGGGAAACCCTAAGATCAGAAGCAACCCCAACAGACCTGGGGGAGGGGAGGGATAGCAAGTGGAACCAAATAACTGAATTTCTGAACTCCACATTGCAATGTTTTCTTGCAGGGCCCATTGGCCAATGGCTCTCAGCTATGACAGCAAAATGGACTGTCCTTTAGAGCAGTGGTCCCCAACCTTGGGCCTCCAGATGTTCTTGGACTACAGCTCCCACAAGCCCTCACCACCACCTCTGCTGGCCAGGATTTCTGGGAGTTGAAGTCCAAGAACATCTGGAGGCCCAAGGTTGGGGACCACTGCTTTAGAGGGCCAGTGTGGCTTGGATACCTGATGCTAAGACCAAACAACAGGCAAGACCTATCGCTTCATTCCCTTGCCTGTGTTCTTAAGAGGCAAGTGCCACCCCCCGACCTTCTTCATGCCTTCATTCTCAGTAGGCAAACACTATTATCCCCTGTGGTGCCATAACCCAATAGACGTGAAAGGGAGGAATTTTTGAGGTTTCCAATGCTTGTTGTGAAAAGCACCCCTTCTTTATTCTAGCCTCATTATTTTTCTTGATTTGCTACCAATACAGATGAGACAGTTACTTCAATAACTGACTCATGTACAAACCTAAGCTACGGAAGGTTCTTTGTTCCTAAACAGCCTGATCATTAATCATTTTTATTGGTTTTATATAAAAGCTGTAAAATGGCCGAGGAAAGACGTACGTAATATAATATATTTCCCCTGGTAATTTATGGGACACATGCATTGGCATAAATAAAGACAACCAAGAAGAAATAAAAAGTAAAGTCAGCTTTCATTTGCTTCAAAAATTGATTGTTACAAACATGAGAAGTAGGCACCAATCTGTACATTGATTTGGTAGTGATGTCACTGAGGAACTCAAACTCAGTGCCATTTTAACTATACTCTGACACCTTAACTCTAGAAATCTCTGTTTTGTTTGGATTCAAGGAGAGGTTTTAGAAAACACCTTAACTCTAGAAATCTCTTTGTTTGGATTCAAGGAGAGGTTTTAGAAACAAGGAGATGAAATCAGTTGCACCATGTACTGGCTTTCCTCATTTAACAGGCGTGTTTTCCCTATGATATGCAAAATAACATGAGACTTTGGGAAGATATTCTTCCAGCTCCCTAGCCAAATCAAGCCATCTAAAATATACTGATCTGAGTATGCACTTGAATTTGGTGATGTTGATAAGGATGATGATGATACAATGTCAAGCTGATTCTAACTTATGATAGAATCATAAGAACATAAAACATAAGAACATAAGAAGAGCCCTGCTGGATCAGGCCAAGGGCCAATCTAGTCCAGCTTCCTGTATCTCACAGGGGCCCCACCAGATGCCTCTGGGAGCACACAAGACAACTAGATACCTGTCTCCTAATCCCCCTCCCCTACATCTGGCATTTTGAGATGCCTTCCTTTGAAGACTGGAGATTATACATCCCCATCATGGCTTGTAACTTGTGATGGACTTTTCCTCCAGAAATCTGTCCAATCCCCTTTTAAAGACATCTAGGCTGGTATTGTGTGAGAGGGAAAAGAGCTTCTTTCTAATCATTTTATTCATCCCCTGCATAATTTTATACGTCTCAATCATGTCCCCCCTCAGGCGTCTTTTCTCCAGACTAAAGAGCCCCAAACGCTGTAGCCTTTCCTCATAAGGGAGGTGCCACAGCCCAGTCATCATTTTAGTTGCTCTCTTCTGCACCTTTTCCAGTTCCATTATGTCTTTTTTCAGGTGTGGCGACCAGAATTGTATCCAATACTCCAGGTGCAGCCTTACCAGCCTTTTGTATAATGACATTATAATGTTGGTTGTTTTATTTTCATTCCCCTTTTTAATGATACCTAGCACGGAATTGGCCTTCTTCACTGCCGCCACACACTAGGTTGACACGTTCATTGAGCTGCCTACCGGCATACCAAGGTCTCTTTCCTGATCCATCATAGACAGCTCAGAACCCATTAGCTAATAATTAAAGTTTTAATTTTTTGCCCCAATGTGCATTACTTCACATTTTCTTATATTGAAACACATTTGCCATTTTGCTGCCCATTCTTACAGGTTGGAGAGATCCTTCTGGAGCTCTTCACCATCCCTTCTAGTCTTCATTACCTGGAAAAGTTGCATGTCATCTGCAAACTTCACTGCTTAACCCTGTCTCCAGGTCATTTATGAACAGGTTGAAAAGCACCGGTCCCAGGACAGATTCCTGGGGCACCCTGCTCTTCATAACCCCCCCAATGTTTTCTAGGTCTAGAGTATTCGGAAATGGTTTACCATATTCTTCTCTGGGGGCATCCTGGGACTGTGCAGCTTAGTCACAGCTATAGTGGCTGGTTGCTCTCCTGGAAAACACAGTGGGGAATTGAACGCCTGACCCCTGGCTCTGCAGTTGGATACTTAACTATCTAGCCTACCGATTTAAAAGTGAGGGAAACTCCCATGCTGGAGGCTCTGTTACTAGTGGTGAAGCTATTAACAGTCATTAGCATCCATCAGAGGAAAGGACCTTAGACCCAAAATATGGAGATGAGTCCATTTGAAACTGACACTTCTGCGTGACATACATGCAGAGAGAAAATCAAACCCAATCATCATCATTTGCATCTGCTTACCCCTCTCTTGATTCTCTTGGAAAAACGCTCCCTGAAACCAAGACTTTTAAAACAGCTAGTATAAAATCTGCAACTCATTGAAGCTCAGAAGTTTACATTTCCCACTTACAGGCAATATTGCTTACCTTTCTACCCCCTTCCCCCAGTCTTATTTCTACCTCTGTGCCTTTATTATTTTGTACTCAGTCTATTCAGGTATCCAGGGTAACCTTCCAAGTCTCTATTCAAGAATGCCTCAGACAGGACTAGGGCTAATGGACCTCTGAGGGCCCTATTTGCATCCAGTGTCCCTACTGGAGATTCAGCAAAGACAGCTTAGGCAATCAAATTGACTGACAACAAGAACCACCTCTCAACCCACTGCCTCCTCCTGAGGAAGGGCCCTTTCCTCTCCATTTTGGAATGCGTAATATCTGTACTCTGAGTTGTTTTCCCTCTGCTTACTTCAGTCTTTTTTCTACCCCTCTGACTTCTGAAGCAAGTTAATTGCTCTATTACTATAATATCTCCTTAAAAGGGCCTTTATGACATTTCCACATGTGGTACTGACAGTGGTGTTTGCTTCCCCGTGTGTTTTATATTCACATTTTATATTTCAAATGGCTCTCACCTGCTTTCTAACTACATTAACAATTTGCACAAAACAGCAGGAGACACAATCAAAGGTGGGTCTGAAAATAAACCTGAAACATTGCTAAGTAGCCACGCCAATTCCAGAGTCCACCTAACCTCTTCTATTTTGCCCACTGTTAATTCACCTCATAATCAAACAAAAACTTTACAGCAGGAGAAGGCAGCCTATTTAAAACATGTCAATACACCAGGGTGTTCTCTTAGACTCTCTCCTTCCTCCATCAGTGATACTATCTTTAGATCAAATGTGGGCAAGTTTGGTGGGTCCAGAAGCTAGTCTTCTATACCAAAGGCACCCAGGGGCACCTCAGACTTCTAAAAATGGCCCAAAATGCAAGCATTAAAACTGGAATTTGTTAGAACTCCACTTCCAGTTTTAGAAAATGGGGCATTAAACAGTCCATGGGGATCCTGGGGCACATTTAAAAGAAGAATCGGCACTTCTGGATTCTGTCAGGAGCTACAATTCATTCTTTTTTTGCCAGAAGAAGAGGTGGGGACTGTGAAAATAGCCATGGAGTCACACACCTTGCTTTAAATATTCACCTTTGGAATTTCAGGGTCAGAGTTCATTAATCTGTCAAAGAATCAGTAGCAAGCTTGGGGATTGTCCATTCTTTCTTATGACTGACATCTCCTTGCATTGTGAGAATTGCTCCATGGCTTATCGAAAGTTGACATAACAATGCACATTGTCAGAACAGGGCAGAGAAATCAGAAATTTGCAAAGAAAATGACAAAAGCCCCCTTGGGTCCTCTTCAGGAGAAAGGCACACTATAACCATTTTAAAAATTTAAACAATTTCTCAGCCAGAGAGAAGGAACAGAAATGTTTAATTGTTTACCTGTGCAGTTCCTTTGAAAATTGGGGTTTTCTAAAGGATGTCCTGAAATACGACATTGAAATCTGTGTTGCCAAAATTCTGGGAACCATGGGTTTCTCGTGTTGGTTTCCAGACGTATTTTCAAAAAATAGTCATCAAATGACAAGACTTCTGGAGACTGTAGTTTGATTGTGATGCCCCCGTTGGCTTCAGCCTCATACCCTTCAATAACTTCATCTCTGTCTGCCCATCCATCACTGAAAAAGGAAGCAGAAACTATCAGGAACAATTTAGGCTAAAGTGCATCCCAAATTAAGCCTGTGCCCTTTAGCTTTTCAAAAGGCAATTCCAAAACAAGAAACATTTTTTAAAATTACAAAAATACCACCTCTTTATACTGCCACATCCTATTTATTGTCCAGTAATATGCTAGGTATTTTACAGAACCAAAAACTGCTCGAGGAAGAGAAGGCTTTATAGAAAAGGGCCAATATATTTTCACATTTGTTTTTCTTCTAGCATAGCTTTGTGATATTGTTTGTCCTCGGATCATCACATATATGAGATGCAAATTCAATTTTTCAAATGCTATTTGCCAAAACTTTACCACCACATGTAAGCAGGATGCATTATATCAGCAAGCTTGGGAGAGTTTCAAGATTAGCACAAATATAAATGTGTATGTATCTAACACACACAGAACACACACAGACACACACAGACACACACCAGGCAATAAATAAAACAAAACAACTGGGGGATCCAAAATAAATCCGTGAAGTATATTCATTGAGCATGGAGTATTGACTGACTACTGGCAAACTAAATTTTTAAAGGACTAGGAAATGCATCCTAAAGTGACAGAACTGGAAGAATAATGTGTAAAGGAATATAGCCCACTAAAAGAAAAGTCTAGTCATTTTTCATGCACAAAAGACCCCTCATGGTTTTTAATAAATAAATGAACTCTCCTTCCTCTTATTACTGCAAAGGCGAATTGGCTGTGCTGAAAATGAAAAGAATCTTCAACCTTTCCAAGATAGAAGCATATGCCTATGTATATGTGTTTTATAGCTATGTGATAATAGTCATATCAATGGTTTGAAATGGATCACTGGAGTAGGGCATTTCTGGCTTTGTAAGGTTGAACATGAGCTCTGCAGACCACAGTTTAGCCACTTTCTCCAAATTTGCCATTTCCCAAAGAGCAATAGCTTGGAGCTTAATTTGAGTGCAAATGTAAATGAGTCTGCATTTAATATGCACGATCATGTCACCAGAGAAACAGATTATGTCGGCATCTAAGAAGAAGCTGCTTCCAACGGAAATGATACCAGAAGCTCTTTCTGCCACAGCAACAGCTTAATCTGCTTGCTTCTCACAGCAGCGCAAAGTGCTACAGAAATCAATGGTACTTACCATAAAGAATGTACACCTGACCTGGAGCTGCTTCCAAAGATTGTTTAAGGCACTCAGGAAATAACATGTGCATGGTTCCAATATGAAGGCCATTACATCAGGTCTTAAAATGGACAAATGAACCTCCAGAAGATTTGACTATTCCTTGAAACACACACAGAGAACTATGATGATCCCCTTGGCTTGCTCTTTGCTTCTTGTATGCGTGTAACCAAAACTGTAGCTAAGGAATTTGTTGGTGCAAACCAAAATGTGAAGAGGAATGTTTCTCAGGCAGATGTATGGTCTGCCAGTGCAGACTGATAACGTATAAACTGCAAGTTTTCTTTTAAGATAAGCATGCTTTTCAGACTAAGTTATAAATCCTACTCTCTGTCATAAACATCTCCCATTATCACTTACCTCGAGACCCCTGTGCCTTTTCCCTCCTAGTATTTTGCGGTGGATTTCTTTATTATTCTTACCAATCGGATGCAATATTCTAAGAGCACTATAGTATACGGATGGATGGATGGATGCATGTATATGTGAAACCTATCTCTCTCATTTCTTCTACAAATGATGCTTAAGGTGGCCAGAGATAACATACAACATAAAATATAGTGTTATAGTGGAAACCTAAAAGCAAAGCCTGACTTTCCTATGAAGGAACTTCTAGAGTTTGGAGCATTTGCCACGAATGCCCTCTTTCACTTTCCCATCAAATGTGGCTCTGATGGTACTGAGATCAAGAGAAGGGCTAAGAATATTAAAACTCGGCAAGTTTATATGGGAGAATACAGTCATTCAAGCATCCTGGTCCCAAGCCCTCTATGACTGTATAGCTCCCAACCAACACAATCCTATGCATGCCTATTCAGATATAAATCCCACTGGGTTCTTCAGGGACTCCTAGGACAGATGGAATAGGGTTGCTGCAGCCAGATTTATTTTTCCTCTAAAATATCTCTATCAACTTGTGATCCTGACCAACAAAATTCTAAACAATCAAGCTAAACATCACTATGAAAATCTGTCAACAAATCAAATAACCACACACAACTCATTAATCCACATTTAAAACCATCCCACAGTTCATTTTCTCACAGGGTAACCTTGGAGTCCTTCTCTGAATCTCCCTCCTTTTCTTACAGTGAAAACTACTGATTATTTGATGAAGGCGTTGAATATGTGAAGGCAGGGGGGGGGTTGCTTGGAAGGGACAAGCGTGTGGGTGTAGAACCAGCATTCCTATTCCTCATTGTCATGACAAAGAGACAACCAACTGTTTTCATTGCTGTTTCAGGCTGTGTTTGCCACCATCTGGGTGGGAGGGGTGTTGACTGCCAGTTTTCTACAAGCTGCACTCATTTGGATGTCTCATGTTGCAAACCCACAACAACAAATGGACAGTTTTACAATAGAGGTAGGCAAAGTTTGGGTCCTCGTAGAGGGGGAAACGTAATTTTTCACGTCCGAAGGCCTTCTAAAGCAGCGGTATTCACTCTATGGGCCTTGGAAGGGGTTCTAAGCCCCCCACATGGCATAAAAACAATAACGAGAGAGAGAGAGAGAGAGAGAGAGAGAGAGAGAGAGAGAGAGAGAGAGAGTTTACTTAATGACTCAAAAACCTCTGTGCAGCCTGCAGGGAGGGGTCCAGAAACACATTGTGGACCCCAACCTCTATGCTTTTCATCCCCCTTTCACAGGCACAATCAAAATCTCTGTGCAAGCCATGTTGTCTAAGCCAGTGGTCCCCAACCCTGGGCCTCCAGATGTTCTTGGACTTCAACTCCCAGAAATCCTGGCCAGCAGAGGTGGTGGTGAGGGCTTCTGGGAGTTGTATTCCAAGAACATCTGGAGGCCCAAGGTCGGGGACCACTGGTCTAAGCAATCCTCCATGTGGGTACTTGCACACTTCACAGTAGAACTTTGTCTATAATACAGTATACATTTTGGGTTTTGAGCTGGCTAGGTCTTCAGTGGATAATTAGACTGACAGACTCCTCCTGATGAAAACAAAAGCAGATAGCATTGATCTGTTAATATGAAGCGATCCATTTAACATGCATTTTTTGACTTTCTTTGTGGGGGTGGCAGGGGTGTCATCAGGATAAGAAATGCTTGCACTTCAGAATGTACTATTTTACCACTACACCACTGGGTGTAATTTGCTGTTGCCAGAGGTGGACAGCCTGCAGGGAGGGGTCCAGAAACGCATTGTGTACCCCAACCTCTATGCTTTCCATCCCCCTTTCACAGGCACAATAAAAATCTCTGTGCAAGCACCTTTTCCCATCGCTGACATGGAAAACATAATAATAATAGAATCTAAGCAATCCTCCATGTGGGTACTTGCACACTTCACAGTAGAACTTTGTCTATAATACAGTATACATTTTGGGTTTTGAGCTGGCTAGGTCTTCAGTGGATAATTAGACTGACAGACTCCTCCTGATGAAAACAAAAGCAGATAGCATTGATCTGTTAATATGAAGCGATCCATTTAACATGCATTTTTTGACTTTCTTTGTGGGGGTGGCAGGGGTGTCATCAGGATAAGAAATGCTTGCACTTCAGAATGTACTATTTTACCACTACACCACTGGGTGTAATTTGCTGTTGCCAGAGGTGGAGCAGCAAATGGCACTGTGTCTATCCATTGAAGACAAGATGCATAGTACCAAAAAGAGCCAAGTTATTTTGCTACAGGAGACAGAAAATCTTATAAGCACCTTTTCCCATCACTGACATGGAAAACATAATAATAATAGAATACATAGCTAACAATTCTCTACTCTTTTACTCCAAATCTGCTGCCTGAGACAGCTGCCTCACTCCACCTCTTGGTAGGGCCAGTCCTGACAAAATCCCTGTAGAGCAGGGGTCAGGGAAGATTTTTACCTTTTACACCCTCCCCCAAATTTATATATGCTGACATTACCCCCTTGATTTGAAAGGAAGGAAAACATACATTATTTGAATTCAAAATATTATAGAATCTACACAGGCTCTGTACTGAACTAGCAGGATAGATCATCAGTATCACTGGCTGCCAGGCTATGTGCCGAACTAGCAGGATGCACCAAATTTAATAAAGAAGTGCACTATTTTTGCTGGAACACATTGTACTCCAGCCGTGGGGTGGTATAGGGAGTAGTAAGGTGTCCAACGTGCCTAGCAAGTTGTATTAAGTTTTTGCTAGCTTGCAGAGGATTTAATCATCATCAGTGGCTGCCAGAGTGGTGCTAGCAATGACGTGCTTGCTAGAGACAGCCAACACAGAGTTGGGGGGCGGCTTTTCCTACCACTTTAATCATTCTGTGTGTGGTGTGCAAAAAGGAACAAACCAGGCTAAAGGTCATGGAACCTACCCTGGTACCACAGCCCAATATCAAAAGACCACTGCGCTTTTTTTTTATCATCATCAATGGAAAACTCAGCAGTGGCCAGAGGATTGGAAAAGATCAGTCTACATCCCAATCCCAACGAAGGGCAGTGCCAAAGAATGCTCCAACTACCGTACAATTGCACTCATTTCACACGCTAGCAAGGTTATGCTCAAAATCCTACAAGGTAGGCTTCAGCAGTATGTGGACTGAGAACTCCCAGAAGTATCTTCTTGCCTGTTCCTTTTTTCAGTTTTGAGTCTCTCACACACCCATACACACACACATACACACACACATACACCCTCCTTCCCTCATTCAATTTTCTACATACATTTAAACAAGCTGATGAAGCCACCCGTTGCTCTCTCACACCTACCTTCCTTCGTTAACTGGAGCTTTCCCTCCTGCGTACAGTCACCTCCAGCGGAAGCAGTCATTCACAAGCTGAATTGACTGCCCAGGGCTGT